GGCTAGTGACGTCAGACTTAACGACCGGATATGTGAAATGGGACAAGATTTAGTGATTTAAAGCTGATAACAAGTAAGTGAAAAGTTGTGCATAATCAGCATAAAGTTGGTTTAATCAGCTTTGTACATACTGCAAAAATGCAAACGTAACACAGAAAGTCTGCTTAACATCTAAAATGAATATTAACTATGTCATAATTCAGCACAGAAAAAAAAAAACAATGACTCGACTCAATTTTATGCCTTAATTAAATTTGGTTTAGAAAAGGTTAGCTGATCGCTGGTTGCTTGAGATGAAATGAAATGAGATGTTAGTGTTGCAAAACTGACGTAATAAAAAGCTTTTATTGTCTGTTTTAGGAGTAAAAAGGCAAAAAGCGGGTTATTTTAGCCCTTTGTTCTGTGTTTGCCAGGCAATATAACGACCATAATATCTGATATAGATAAGAACTACAGAAGACTAAGATGTAATTGTGTGCCAGGCCTGGTTGTTGAGCTCTCAGTAGTCTAGAAGGAGTAAACAGAAAAAGAAACAAACAAAGACACAGATAAAAACGAGAGCACTCAGAGAGCTAACTATCCCCGACAGGGAACAGCAATACTAAAACTGATGTTATTTATGCTGATGTCATCATTCGTAATACTGAAACCCCCAATAATGACGTCTGCACTGTTTTTATAGATCATTTGTGCTGAATTCAGCATCGTTAATGGGAATCTAGTGTAGTATAATAATCTTTTGGTTTCAATATGAAGTCATGTAATGTTGTAATAAAAAAATATGTTTTAAAGAGCTCAAGGAAGTGCTTATGTCTCCCAGTCACTCTTATATTGCTTAAAGTTTGAAGACGATCCAGTGGAAACTAAAGCCTTCTCCTAATGCTAAATGGACCAGTCTTACATAGAGCTTTTCTACTTTATCCAAGCACTCAAAGTGCTTTACTAACTTGCCTCATTCCTATATTCACACTCATTTGCACAAGCACCTTTTTCTATTTAACATTTACACACATTCAAACTCAGATGGATGCATCAGAGAGTAACTTGGGGTTTGTATGTTGCCCAAGGATATTTAGTATGCAGACTGGAGCAGACGGGGATCAAGCCACCAAACGTCCGAGTAGCAGCTGCTCTACTGCTGCTCTACCACCTGAGCGACGGCCACCCCAAATTCATGTGATCCTAACCTTTGACCTATGACCTTGAAGCATTACTTCTAATATGGTCTATTTTATTAATTTTACTAATATGATTAGAGCAGAGCTGTCTGAAATCCTTTGCCTGTTCAAGCTGTAAAAAGCTTGCAGATTTCTCAATTATTATGTCATTATGTGAAACTTTATGTCATCATTGTGATGTCTTAGGGTTTTGTACTGAAAAAATAAACACTGTGTTGTACAGCCCTCTCCATAGTCATATAAAATATTAGTTAACATGGTTTCTTGCAATTGTTTTTCAAGGTCAGCTTTGACCTTGGGCATGAACAGCGAAGGTCTAGGACAAATGCTTAGCCAGCCTAGTTGGTCCACCAAGCCTTGGTGTATTGTTGTGATGTTTCAATTAAAAAATATATATATAACTTTTTACTGGTTTTCACATTTGGTGTCGATTTTCACCAAAATGAAATAAGCTGTCTTTTGTATCTACCATCAGACAAAATTTGAACACGATATCTTAAAAACTGTGGATGTTAGACTGCTAACAAACAGACAAACACAAGAAACCGATTACATTGTATCATAGTGAGATTCATGCCCTCAAGGCTTGTGAAAAGCATGAACAGTTTTGACGTCTTGATGGAAGAAGGAATCTCATGCTTGACACATTTAGTGGGAATGGACTTCAACTATGCTCCCTTATTTCCTCCAGTCGTAATTACTGTTGCCCCTAGAGATAACAGTATTTTTTTTAGTTTTCTTGTGTCCGTTCAGCCTCATCAACAGCAGAAAAGGCTTTTTTAAAATTTAAATCACAATGTAAGATGTTTACATTGTGTGTGAATCACCTTTCAATACAATTCAGTTTTATTTATATAGCACCAAATCACAACAACAGTCGCTTCAAGGCGCTTTATATTGTAAGGTAGACCCTACAATAATACAGTGGCTTGCAAAAGTATTCGGCCCCCTTGAACTTTTCCGCATTTCGTCACAATACAGCCACAAACATGAATCCATTTTATTGGAATTCCACGTGAAAGACCAATACAAAGTGGTGTACACGTGAGAAAATCATACATGATTCCAACACTTACAAATAAATAACTGCAAAGTAGGGTGCAAAACATACAGAGAAAACCCAACAATCCTATGACCCCCTATGAGCAAGCACTTTGGCGACAGTGGGAAAGAAAAACTCCCTTTTAACAGGAAGAAACCTCCGGCATAACCAGAGAAAGAAAAAAAAATCATGAGAAAATGAGAAAACAAAACAAAGAAAGGACTAACTTAAAGCTTGAATAAATGAGGTACTGTAGATTGTAGATTGTCAGGAAGAGAAAAAACTACATACAGTGTTTTAGTTGTTGGCGCTGCAACACAACAAAGCATAAAACAATTTTAACAGCTACCTGCTGTGCAGCATTCTAAGCAGCCAGAGTGTGATCGGGGCAAATTCCTAGTGTCATTTCCCACATTTAACCAGCATCTGATATACTAGAACCCGTTTTGAGGAGAGAAAATCCCTGACCCAAGCCTGCGCGGTGATGTAGCTGAAGGAATACATTCAGTGGGGTATAAATATTGCACAGTGAGTACATGGAGGGCTTTTTGGCCAATGAATTATTACAAAGTCCAGTGGCTTCGTGCCAGCCGCGGAGTATATCTCGCTCAGCTTCACCCTGCAATAAGCTGTGACTGGGGAATTTTGGTTATAGTCACACCACAAATAAAGACCAGTGATACCAGAAATCCATCACATTCATCCCACGTGTTGTGTGCTTACATTTGGCCAGACTCAGCAATATCCAGTTAGCTAAAAGGGTGTAAATAACAATGAAAGTGCACACAGCAGGTGGTAGACAAAAAAAGAGAGAGGAAAAGTTAATGAAGTTCCACTTTTTTTTCCTGTATCATCATTTTTTTCTTCTTTTTCTGTACACACGAGGCACAGCGGCGTTAGCTAGTCAACATTTACAGGAGGCAGGAATGAGAGACTATTTCCCTTGGTGATCAGCTTCATGATGCTTTGATAGATGGTGATCCCCGAAGCGAATAAAGCGTGCCACCTTCTCATTCTCGCTCTCAGAAGAGCAAATCTGGATGGCGACGATGATGGTGGTGATGATGATGAGTTTATTTGCTCAACATCAGTAGAACAGGGATGTGAAATTACTCCATGTTCGGATTTTTCCTGCTAAATCACTTTTCATTTGCACAAGATAATCACGTAACCCGGCGGAGCATGAAGTCGATAGTTAATACAGCTGATTGTACCAGCACAATGAGGTTAAACGAAGATCAAAATAAGTATTC